TCCCTGGAGGTATTTAAAAGAAGGATAGATGAGGTGCTTAGGGACATGGTTTAGTGGTGGGATGGCAGGGTTAGGTTAAAGGTTGGACTCTATGATCTCAAAGGTCTTTTCCAACCAAAGTGATTCTATGATTCTATGATGTCTACAGTTTTGTGCTCCAAAGCCAGCATCCTAATTGGGGGAAATGTACCAGTTTCCAAAGATGTTGAGTCAGTATTGGGAAGTCCTGGTCTGCTCAGGAAGTATTGGTTCTGTTCCAGTCAGGAATGGCAGCAGGATGCAAGGAACCTGTTCTGTTACTAATTCCTTTTTTTTTTTTTTTTCCTGTGCTGAAATACTGTTCTTCAGTTCTATGAAAAATGCCATGTTGGTGATACAAAAATTAATCTCCCTTGAAAAGAGGAAGAAATTGCACAAAGGAGGCTGATAACAGCACCTGAGGCTGATAACAGCATCTGGTCCAAATATACCCTAATGAACCGAGCAGATTCTGTGCTTGTCACATTTGGCCTGTGGTTTTTTGCACTTCACCACAAGAGCAGTAACATTACACATTCTTGAAGAACTTGTATAGGAGATGTGAATATTTTGCTGCTGCAGATGCTTCTGAAGATCCGGCTGAACATGCCTATTAGAACTTGAGCAGAAATAACCACTGTTACAAGAGCAATATTAAGATGTGGAAGAAGATTTTTTCCTCTGGGCAGATTATCCCATAGTTACCTACTGCAGGGTTTTTGCATCTTCCCTGGGAAACAAAACATAGTTGATTACCAGGAACAAGAACATTCTTAATTAAGTCATTCTAAGGTCTTTTCTTGGATAGCAGCTCCTATGTCACCTTAGAATAATGCTCTGACCAGACTTGTCAGTCATGTCCAGGAATTAGATGCTCTACATAAATGTGTTTTGTTGTGTGATACATCCAAGTAGGTGATAAAAATGTTTAAATTTATTATTAAGTATCTATCATGGTTATTAATCTTTAGATACTTATTAAATCCTTCTGCTTTACACCTAATTAGCTTGTATTCTGCAGAAGGGAATTGAGTAAACTCAAGGCTTAAATATGGGGGCAGAGGGGTATGAGCATGGACAGGGTGTGTGGCATCTTTTCTACATTACATTTTGATAAACTATTGCAGTTTTCATCGGAGAATATATTATATATAAATCCATCTGAGTCATCAGTGCTTAATTATTTTAATAAGCCATTTCCTTTTCTATCATCAATGAGGTAAATATAAGAAGGAGAATCCAAATAGTGCATTACGGTATTTGTAACTCGTTTGGTATGTTCTTTTAAGTGCAATTTCAGTATTGTGTGCGGGGTAGAAATATTTCTTTGATGATTTGTTAATAATAGTTTTTCCCAGCTGGATTCTGTCCTGCAGTAATATTAACAGCTGCAAGATGTTTCAGTGCAGAGTGTATGGAAGGGTATAAACAGAGACAGTATTGGGAAAGTTTCAGAATAAAGGTTCATGATGGAATAATTGCAGTTTATTCTTACTGCATTGTCAAATTGATATCAACTCCTCTTTTTCTCTTAAAAATGAGTCTGTCTTTTTTGATCTCACAACTTGTGTTTAGTTTATGTATTCACACATTTAAATCTTAGGCCATTAATGCGAGTGTATAGTGTTCAAGTATCAACTATGGCTTCTGAATGTATTTAGGAAGACTTTTAAAATTATACATGGTAATGTAACAGGCAAAAGAATGGAAGTTAATCATTAAGGTCAGACAAGCATTTTAAAACCAAAACTGCAGTTGTTGTGTCTTAGCATGTTGAAAGGGCAAAAAAATATATCTTATGTGGTGGCTGTGGAATGTGCTTTCTTTTTTAGCAGGTTTGTTACAACAGGAAAATAGCGTAGCAGTAAGCAAAGTGACTGTCCTGTCCTACTTGTTCTGCTTACTGACACTGAAGTATTTTTGTTTCCTTTCAGATGCAGTTTCCACATCTGCTTACTCATCACCAGCCAAAAGTTTGGGAGACCCTGGAATAACTCCACTGTCTCCATCACATATTGTGGTAAGGAAGGCACTCTTAACATGCTGTATGTTGACATTCCTTTCTCCTGCCTGTCTGGTAGGAACGTAATTTCTTTATAAAGTTGTCATTTCCTCATATAGTGATCCCCATAGTCCTAAGTGAAATCCTGGTCACACTGGAGTTGGTGACAGAGCTCTCATTCATTTCATCAGGGGCCCAGTTTTGCTTTTTTTTTTTTTTGGTCTGCTTACTAAGGTGATAGATTTGCTCCTGCATGTTTTTATATCAAATGCAGGGGCTTCTTGATCCTCAGGGTTCCCAAGTTCTGTCCCTGTCTTTATCACTGATTTGTTTAGGTAGCCCCTCAAAAGTCACTCTGTTCAGAAAAAAAGAAGGTTATATATTACTGAACAGTAAAATCTGAATTCTCAGAGAAAAGAATCTCCTCCCAACATGAGAAAGAGAAGCTCAAAATAGAACTTGCTTTCTTAAGGAAACAGTCACTTCTGTAAGCTTTTAGAAGCAAGCAAATGTCCCATAAAGGTAGTGTGTTTTAATCTCCTATACATCATGTTCATTTTTATTTTTTTTTACAAACTCCCATTAAAACTAAGTCCCATCTGTTTTTAAGATCATCTGTAACACAGTGTATGCACAGTGTATTGCTTGATATTGCAAGGGATCACATTCAGAACACATTGCTACTCTTGTCAGATTTCTTCCTTAGCTTTCTGAATCAAGGTCAGAGTTGTATGACATCCCTGTTCAGGAGTTCCAGAGTGTTCTCTCATAAATTTTTGCTTTTATTCCCTTCTTTCTCCATATAATCTAGAGCTTTGCCCTTTTATTTCTGTCATACTAATGAATTTATATCCTCTTTCAGTTAGATTTGCTCCTTAAACATTTTGAGGAAGACATATAAATAACGTATTGCTCTAGTTGAAAAGATTTATTAGGAAAATCCAAACAGGCCTTTTGCTATTTGAGACCACACTTTATTACTCTTGTTTCCCCACTTAAGGTAGCAGGCCTATAGGATGATCTTGGAAAATGTAGGGGTACAATAGAAAGGTGCTGGAAGTAGCAGGCATGGAGATAACAGAGGTATGTGAGGAAGATGATGGAACAGTGCTCATAGAGTGAGGACATTTGGCTGTTCCTCTGTAAAAGATAACATTTCAAAGTAATTGTTATTATTGAGGGTACAGGCTGAGCAGCAGTGGTGGAGGATTCAGACATGACCTGTATAGTAATAGGTCAAAAGGTCTGTTCTGTGGTGACTTTGCCAAAATGATTCATGTGCAGATGGGTGTATTGCCCTCCTTCGTGTTCCACCAGCCTGTAGCACATGGCCCTGTTGCCAGTGTTTCCAGCTTGTTCTCTTCCTCTCTTGCTAAGCTGTTAGTGCTTTAGCCTTACTAACTGCTCCTTGCATGGGATTTGTGATAGGCAACAGCATACTGGGGAGTGGTACAATTCCTTGCTTGTTCACGTCATGCATTATATCACGTCATTGTGATTTGGGCCACAACCCTTCCACCTCTTATAATTAATGTTCCCATGTTGCCCTTGACTGTGCTTTTCAGGGACTGCAGAACTGCAGGTAAAAGGCAGGGAGAAGGATTCAAATTCACTGTAAGCAGCTGAACAGCTTTCCACATTGTAGCACAGGCAGGAGGAAAGAATGCATATAGTGCTTACAAAATAAGTGTTATGTAAAGTCTTCATAAATAAATAATTATAATGGGCTATAAAGCTTACTGCTGTGTTTTGGGTTGTTCTGTCTCCACTAGTTTTGAATGGTAGTAGTACCTCAAGGTTATGACACAGGTAACTCCTAAACCCACCAAATAAGTCCCAAATATACCACATTGATGCATGTAAACATATTCTTCAGTTGATCAATTTAAAGGAGAGGGGGGGAAAAAAACCCAGCCCCAAAACCAGTAACCTAGTGTTTAGCCATAAGTTTTAACGATACAGGATAATAGCTATTCCAATAAATGAGTATGAAGGAAACTCTTGATTCAGAAGGTTAGGTATAAAAGGCTCCAGCAAATACATTGAGCTGTATATTGAATTTCTACTTCTGTTGGAATGTGCAGCTTTCCGGCATCAACTTTGGTCAGAAATGCAGCTTTAGTCTTTATTTCCACTGAGGGGACATGCATGTCTCAAAGAGAGAAATACTGAAGGGTGAGACAGGTTACAATTATTCTAATCAGTGACTCTGTGTCTATTTTGCTTCTGCTATTTAACAGAAGGACTCTGATGCAGATGATGCTGTAGAACAGTTATTTCATGTTGTTGTGGCTATTGATTTTGGCACAACATCCAGTGGCTACGCCTACAGCTTCACCAAGGAACCAGAATGCATTCATGTAATGAGGTAAGGGCTGCAATGCAGCATTTAGTTTTCGATCGTGATAATGGATTGTCTGCAGCAGCTACAGATATTTTCTACAGGATCTTGAAGTGTCTGGATTTGCCTAGTGTTGCCACAGTGTACAGCTTTGTCATGGTTATAGCTTTTTGTTGCACCTTATTGTATTCTAATTTGCTTTAATAATCAATGTGAACACATCCTCTCTGTTATTTTGCTGAGTTTACAAGATGACATGAGTAAAAGGAGGGTTCAGTGAGTATTTAGCATTGTTCAGGGAGCAGTGATAATTATTAAGTCCGGATGCCCTTACCTCAGAGATTGAAACTACACATTTATTAAGGGTCATGGCATTTCCCAGGAGCTGGGATCGTGCTTGTATACAGCTGTGTGTACAACGCTTAGTTACTTGCACCCAGAAATTGGTACTTCATTTGGCTGATTTAAGCTTCTCACCCTTAAATTTTAATTGGATCTCTGATAATGAACCAGTGATACTGGGAAGTAAGCAATCAAAAGGCATGAATGTGAAAATTAAAGTTTGATGTGAAATCTGTTCTGTATTATATGTGTGTAAGGGACAGATTTTAGATGCTGTTATGTAGGGGGGCTTTTTTTTTTATTTCTTTATTAAATCAACACAATATAAATCTAGACATATAAATCTAATGCAATCACAATTTCAAAAACTATTATGGCAGGTACTTGAAAGGATTGCCCTACAAACAATTTTTATAGTGTTTTTTATTTTTTTAAAGATTTTTTTTATAACTAAAACCCTATACAGTTCTTATTAAAGTATCTTTAAAATGACCATATTGTAACAAGACCAAGATACAGATAATTTCAGGCATAAACAAGATGCGTATGAAAAGCTTAACCACAGAAGTTCTTCTAAACAAAGCTGCTGTTACAGCAATAGGTAGTGTACTGTTTGCAGCACTGTAATACTGAGAACAAAAGGGCAAAAAGGCTTGCTGTAGTGCTGCGTGATATACTGTAATTTTTCTAATCAAAGATGCTAGCTGAATGCAGGTCTCTCAATCTCAGCAGACAGTATTGATCGTGCAGTCAGCCTGCATAGTTGGTTTGTATACGGCTGTATATGGTATTTCAGAGGTCTAATGCAGCTGGGTGATGTGAAATACTGTCTAAAGGGACATAAATTTTGGAACGGTATTAGGCCATCCAGTTACAAAGACTGTCATTTTCAGGATGGACAAGTAATGCTTCAAGGCCTTTTCTGCATCCCATCCAGCTATTGTTCAGCGAACAGCACTGGAAGCTGCATGAGGCTGGAAGTCAAAGGACAGGCTGTCTTAGATGGGTTACAGGGTTATGGAGTTGGAACCCATGTTTATCAATTCCTATTCTCTTTTGACAGCAAATAATTAAACACATTTCTTAAAGAAGATGGATGAAACGAGGGAAGACATCTCTGAAGCTGTACTTGAGCAAGCCTAAATCCTATATACTGTGTTGTTCCTATAATCTCTCTGGAGACTTTACTATGTGAATTCCCTACTGGTTTTAGGGATGTCCTTTAAGCCCTTTGGACTCAAAATTTTACCGGAGGACTTGATTTTGCCATTGGGTTCACACTCCTCTGCAGTACATTACAGACTAGATTCTCCTTCCAGGGTGCTAGGCTTCCTGCTGTTGATCACTGAGATGCTGAAATCTAGGTGCTAGGTGGCTAGCTGAGAGTATGTTCCAAATCTTAAATGGCATTTTACTACTTATGGTTCAAAACGCCATATTTTGTTCCTTATGCAATAATGGTAGCCTGATTGTGATTTCAGACCTCTGTAGATACTATATGAGATCCTGAAGTAAAAAGAAATTAAATAAATTAATTCCTCTATATGAGATCCTGCAGTAAAAAGAAATTAAATAATCAATTCCTCTATTTCCAAGCAGGAGCATATTTTAGGGAGGTAAATGTATTCATATTTCCAACAGGTATTTCAATGATAAATATTTTAATACTGAGAATGATCCCCTCCAAATAATTATTGCTGTCAGGGAAGGATTTTGGGGAAGATATAGCTGAAACTGAACTATGAAATAATCATATAAAAATATATCATATGTATATATCATATTTATTTATATACAATTGCACATGAAATCATGAAGATGAATAAAAAGAATAGTATATGTATCAAAATAAGACTTAGGTAGTTCAGAAGGCTTAGAAGTTTGAAATTAGTATACAATGAGGCTTATATGTAAGATAATTTAGAAATACTTCAGCAGAGTAAATGTAACTTCCCGCCTGCAGTCGAGAATGTTTACATTAAAATAAAGCATACCAGTGATGCATGGTCCTCTTTGCTTCCTAACATTTTTTCCACCTTCCCTCCTTAGTGTTGATCCTTTCCAGACATTCAGATTTCTGACTGCCTTTTCACAAAGCTGCTTTTCTGTAAATGTCTCAATGAAGGGTAAGGTGGGTTTATTCAGAAAGTCCTACTCTAGAAAAGAGTGAACACACAGGGCTTTAGTACCAAGTTTGAGTGCAGTGTCAGCAAACTTGTGATTCTGTTTGTGAAGTTAGTAGACAAACAATTTATAGATATTGACCTAACAAAGTTCTTTAAGCATATACTTAGCTTTAAATGTATGAGTAGCCTCACTCACTTCAGTAGACTAAAGCATGTGTTTGGAGCTGGGCATGTGTTTCCAGATGATCGATGAATGACTTCACCTTGATTGCATGACATTAGTTACTCTTTTATCGATTTTAGGTAATGCTTCACATCTGCTGACTCTTACTAGTTCCCTGTGGCTTCTGTAAAGACAGTTGTGGTTACCTTCAGGCTCTTGTTGCAGAGTAGAAGTATATGTTACAGTGAGTGCTATTTTCTGCATACCTTGAGATTATGACTAAATGGATATGAAGAGCCTTGCCATGAGTACAGCAAGCACTTTAGCGCACAAGGCAATGCCAAAGCTGTAATGAAAGACAGTTCGATGCTGTAGAAGGAGTTAGTAACATCTCCTTTGAAGGGAATACATGACGTCTTACACGGTTTTGAAAAACTCCTATTGATTGATGTGCACTTACATGAAGTTATAAATGTTTTGGCTGCTGGTTAAATAGCAACAAACTGTAAGTATTTCACAAATGGAGAAAAAAATAAATAGAAAAATGCATGTGATTATGAAACAAATAGCAGCCTGTCTTTGGAAGGAGGCAGAATGTGGTCTTTTTTCAGTGTAACTTTACTTCAACCCTCAGGTTTTTCCTTTTCCTTCTCTTCCCTGTTTGACTGTAATTCTTGGCAGACACAAGCTTGCCTTTCCTCTGCATCCACACTCCTAGTGGCATTAATGACCCCACTGCTTCGTTCCCTTGACTCTTACACTGCAGCTCTGGATCAAATTCCCATCACTCTGCATGGATCACTCTCTTTGCTCTGTCTGTTGGCCAGATTCACGTGTAAGGAAGGGCACTTGTCTAACCTTAGTATAACCTTGTGATCCTTTCTGCACTAACTTTCCTCTTGTCTTTATTTTCATTTTTAATATATGGTTAGATCCTCTGTGGCTATAAATGGGTCTATGCTACTTTGTTGAGCTACACCACTCTCTGTCAGCCTAGGAACTGGTCTCATATGTCTGTATTTAGGCAGAAATCTGCCTTGGGTTCTGCTTGAATAGATCTGTAGCTCTGACCCTGCTTTGAGAAAATACCCACCACGTGCATTTGGAATTATTTAGGTTGGAAAACACCCTTAAGATCATTGAGTCCAACCGTTAACCTACCACTACCATTTAGAGGGTACTGCTGGCTTCTATTAGGCCATGCTCTTAATAGGCATTTCCATTTTCTTCCCCTAAGAGGAGTGTTATTACCATCATTTTGTCTGTATTGGGACCATGAAAGAAGGTGTTGAAATCCTAGCCCTACTGAACTGGAAGCCACTGCTAACTGGAGTGAGGCAAAGGCTTCCCCTGAGAAAGTGTCCCGGTCAGGAGTTACCATGCCCATGCCTTTGTCTGCAGCTGCTTTTCTCTACAAAAGATGTCATGCAGGAATATTTTTAAAGCTCTGACTGCAGATGGTAAAATCGGACTTACCCTTCTGTCTCCTTACTGCTCTTTCTGTGGCCGAGCAGTAATACAGGCTGAGAACTTTAGAACTTGCTGAGCAATTACCGTGTCTAGTTTCTGTTGGAAACTCATCGGGAAACGAACATCCAATTCTCTAGGTGGCTTTGAAAATTTCAGCCCGTACCACTGAGCATCAATTTGTCTTCAGTTAAACTGCACCTTAAGTGTACTTATTCCGGAAAGAGAAAATGTGCCCAGCCGTAATGAAAAATAAAGAAGTGTTGTTATTAGCCACATCCTATTTATGGAATTTCCCACCGGTGACTCAGAATGAATCATTAATGATTCCAAGCGAAAGCGATACCAGTCTGTCTCCTCTCTGCTTGCAGCGGGTGTGTGGGATTTAACCTTCTGGTGAAATAGGCAGTGTTTTCTGTTCGTGGGCTGTGGGATCCCAGCTTCTTCACATTGGAACCATATGTTTGCTGTAACGCCTACTCAAAGGCTTCGGAGTTGACCAAGTACATGCCTAGCAGCAGGTTAGAAGAAATTACCTGGAGCAGAGCCCTTGCCAGCTGATAGTGGCTTAGGGGCTGAGCAGCGGGGCTAGGGAGATGTAGGGAAGTTTTTTCCGGGTGGTTGAAGGTGGAAAATCAATGCACTTCTCATCATACTGTTTCTGTTTTCAGAGCAGTGGAATTGCCTTCTATACTGAAGTAAATTCATAGATGTAGTAACTCCCTGCCATGGCTGCTGCTGGCACAAAAAAGGGCAGATTTTGCTCTGTTTGATTTACTTTGAATGGTCTGAAGGGTTTCCAGCACTTTAGAAGATCCTGTTCCTTGTTACTTTGCAAGTATTAACCCCTTAGGTTGAAATTGCCCGTGTCAGTTGTCTGCCTTGGTCTGGAGATCAATTAATTTCCAGTTGGTTCAACTGTTTCTAAGAGTGAAAAGGAAAAGAAGATTTTTCTTCTGCATAATCTTCTTGTGTCACATAAACAAGTACCACAGAACAACGCTATCTTTTTGTGCTTCAGAAGGAGGACTTTGGCAGTAGTAAATTACGGACGTGGGCTTTGCTATCTTTAGAATAAAAACAATCAACATGTGGTTTAATAATGAATGCAGTTGCCCGCGTGATCTTAACTTGGCTCCTGGTCGAGCTGCATTATGCTTGTGTCTGATAGCAGAAAGCGGATTTTCCACTGATGCTTTTTTAAGAAAATGTTGTCTGCTACGTGTTTGTTTCCCATGCTGAAAGTGCATGAATATGGGGCGAGGGGGAACAGTAATGTGAGTCTCTTGTTCATCCATTCTGCTTTTTTTGTGATGGAGAAGTGAGGAGAAGACAAGAACGCTCACAGCTGTCTCTGTGGTACAACTTTCTACTGTCTGATCTTGTTGCTACA